AAGTCTAATAACACCACCACCACCAACAACAACAATAGCAACAACAACAACAACAACAACAACAATAACAACAACAACAACAATAACAACAACAACAACATCAAAACGGAGACGATAAAACAGAGAACGCTTGCGACATCAACTCACACACACAGGCCACCACCACTCGGAGACCCCACTCTAGACAGCAAGTAGTAGCTCCATTGATTTCTGTCACCTTATTGTGCGGCAAGCACCGTAAAAACACGTGCTAAAACTCTTTTAAAAACACAGCTAGGCGCATTTATATGACCTTATCGTGTCTCAAGCGCCGTTAAAAAAAAACTCTTTCAAAACACAGATAGGTATACATGTATTTATATGACCTCATTGTGTCGAAAAGGCCGTAAAAACTCGTACTAAAACTTTATTTTAAAAAGAATTAACTAGCTACATAATAACAATAGTTACTGCTCCTCGTTATAGATGGGGTATAAAACAAAACAACACAAAACAAAACAACACAAAAAACAACCCACAATAATACAGTCATTATATTGGAGCCGCTGCTCGCAGCTGTGCTGAAACTACTGTCAGTTAGTTGTGGAGGCTAAACTTTAAAATATATAATAATAGATAGCATTTGTATAGCTCGAATCCCCGCTTAACAGCGAGCTCTATGCTCTTCATAATTTATACTAGTACCCCAGCAGACCTGAGAGCATTTTGAAACAACTTCAACTTCATGGGAAGCATACCGCAAGCGGCCATTTTATAAGCGCTAAAATACTAACATACCAACAAGATCTTTCGCAGCCTATGGCCGGGTACCTAGACGGTCAGAGAACACAAGAGTATAAGAACGTATAGCCGGGTACACATTCCCACCTGGGTGAAGTGAGGAAAATTCGTGTAAAGTAAAGTGCCTTTCCCAAGGACACAAAGTCGGGCCTGAGGCTCGAACCCCCGAACCCGCACGCAACCTCACAATTATACGAGTCCGGTAGGTAGCCTAACCACTAGGCCACCGACGCCACAATAATACAGTCATTATATTGGAGTTGGAGCCTCTGCTCACAGCTGTTCTGATACTACTGTCAGTTAGTTGCTAGTTGTGGTGGAGGCTAAACTTTATGGGCGAACGGTTCAACGTGTTCATTGTGTTTGCCATATGAGGCTTGAGGAGACAGATAATGACGGACACAGAGGGGGACAGATAACAGAAAAACAGATAAATGACAGGGTCGTTTCGCCTCTCCGATTCATTGATCATTTGTTGTTTCTGCTCACCCACCTACCCACCTACCTACCTACCTACTTAAGTGATCGCTGAACATCAGTATCATCATCATCATCACCACGCACTGGTGTGGTAGCAGGTGGGAGGGAGGGAGGGAGAGAGAGAAAGAGAGAGAGAGAGAAAGAAAGAGAGAAAGAGAGAGAGAAAGAGAGAGAGAGAGAGAGAGAGAGA